CTTTATTTGACTTTCTTGGGGTCAGCGTTCAGAACACAGAGCTAGTGCATTCATAGTGAGACACCCTGTTCCTACTTCCTCCTCACCCGTGCTGGGAGCTCATCAGGTGCCATGCATCTCCTGAACACAAGTTGGCATTTGCATGTGCTGTGTGTGTGTGTGTGTGTGTGTGTGTGTGTGTGTGTGTCTTGGGAGGCTGGGATATAGTGTGGTGATAGAGTACTTGTCTAATGTGTATGAAGCCCTGAGTTCAACCCTAATTGGAAAACAAAAAGGTATATGTGGATTAAAGGCGGCCTTACGGTGTGCTTTAGAAAATTCTTGTTTCGCGATGGAGTGACTCTGAGGACACACAGCATGTGCGAGTGAAGCTGTGATCCTGACCCAGGTCTGTAGATTTTAATATCTGCTCTCTTCTTCCTTCTTTTCTGTGTGACACAGGTCTCACTTTCCTTTCTCTCTCCCCCTCTCTTCCTCCCCCCTTCCTCTTTCTCTCTCCCTCTGCTCCCTTTCTCATTGACACGGGTCTAGCTGCATAACCAAGGGTGGCCTGGAACCTACTCTGCATCCCAAGCTGGCCTTGAATTTGTAATCCTGCTTCAGACTCCAGGATTACAGGTATGCGCACCATATCTGACTAGATTTTTAAGAAAGATAATTGGCTCGTTAAATAAACTTTAGACTGACGTAGCCAACATATACTTTCCTGTATAAAGATAAAATGAAAGCCTTAGCTTCTAACAGTCTGTAAGATGGTTTTGTTTGACTTTGTTGTGATGCTGAGGATGAGGAACCTGAGCCTTGTGACACTAGGCAGGTACTTTACTGCTGAGATGCATTCCTAGCTCTAAGCAAAAGTGGTTTCTTTTAAAATATATTTTATTTATAATGATGTGTGTATGTGCATATATGAGTGTAGGTGCCCACAGAGTCCAGAAGAGGGCACCTGATTCCCTGGAGCTGGAGTTGCAGGTTGTGAGCCACACCCCCCAACATGGATGCTGAGAACTGAACTTAGGTCCTCTGCAAGTGCAGTACATGCACTTAACCACTGAGCCATCTCCCTAGTCCCTCTAAGCAGAAATCTTAAAAGTATTTCTGTTTGGAAATTCAGAGATTTAACATACCTTATCCAGCTAGAAAGCCAATGTATTTTTGCTTACATTGTCCAGAACTGCTTAGAGGTATAAAGTCTGTGGTTTTCAACTTCATAAAAACAGTATCAGCCTGGCATGGTGACACATGCCTTTGATCCCAGCACTCAGGAGGCAGAGGCAGGTGGATCTCTTGTAAGTTCAAGGCCAGCCTGGTCACCATAGTAAGTTCCAGGCCAGCTGGGGTTACAGGGAGATCCTGTAATCAATCCAATCAATCAATCAGTCAATCAATCAATCAGTAAATCAATTAATCAATCAGTAAATCAAGCTGAGGGCTGGAGAGATGGCTCAGTGATTAAAAGCACTGGCTACTCTTATAGAGGACCTGGGTTCAGTTCCTATCACCCATGCGGTGGTTTACAACAGTCCCTAACTCCAGTTCCAGGGGATCCAATGCTCTGTTCTGTCCTCCATAAGCACTGCATGCATGTGATGCAACTTACACACATACAGATAAAACATTCATACACACAAAAAATTAAAGCCGATAAACTCTAAAACTTCATTAATTTAAAAATGAAAATATCATTGCTTATTAATATAGTGCGTTAATCCAGTTATTTTCCAAAGGAAGAAATTAAAGAAAGGGGCAATATTGCTCTATGGTGCAAATCTCTTTAGTTTGCTTAAGAAGGCAAGGTGTTCTGCTTCTGCATTAAATCTGTTGCAGTTCTTCCCAGCATGAGCTTCCAGAAAACTCTCTATACTCAAGAGAAAAGAAAATTAAAAAGGAAAATGATGGTAAATTTGAAAATGGTTTTGATGGGGCTTCAGAAGACCTGGGTTCGAATCCCAGCAATCACATGGCAGCTAACAACTGTCCATAGCTCCAGTTCCAGGGGATCCAACAACCTCTTCTGTCCTCTGTGGGCATTGCATAACACAGGTGCACTTACTACATGCAGGCACTACAAGCATACACGTAAAATAAAAATAATAAATAAAAAATACTTTTTAAAAATTTTTAAAGAAAAAGAAAATGTTTTTGACAAGCCTGGTGTGGTGGCACACGCCTTTAATCCCAGCACTCGGGAGGCAGAGGCAGGCAGATCTTTGTGGGTTCCAGGCCAGCCTAGTCTACATAGTGGGTTCCAGGCCAGCCTGGTCTACTTAGTGAAGTTCCAGGTCAGCTGCGGCAACAGGAAGACTCTGTCTCAAAAGGACAAAAAAAGAGAATGGCTTTGACTTTGAGGATCTACTCACATTAGCAGTTTGAATGCTGCTGTAAAGTATTAGAAATGTTTGCAACCTACACAAAGTATGACTTTACCTCATTCCACCCGTTTTCAAAGTACACCCTTCAAAGAATTGTGACAGCTGTAGTCCTATACCTCTGAAGGCCCAGAAAAGTCAAGTCCAAGGTTGAAATCATCAGTCTCCTATGAGCTTTGCTTTTTCCATTCTAGTGGAGGATAAGCCTAGTCTCCGCGTCCTCATCATTTTCTTCATACTATCCCTAGTTGATAAATCATGAAGGCATATATATATATGTATTTTTTTTAATTTTTATTTTATTTTTTTTGAGACAGGATCTCCCCATAGCCTCAGCTGGCCTGGAACTCACTACGTAGACCAAGCTGGCCTGGAACTCAGAGATCTGCCTGCCTCTGCCTCCCAAGTGCAGGGATTAAAGGCATTTGCATTTTTAACTGGAGTCTAGGGGTGGGGTTAGATCATCCCTGGGGCCCTTTCTTTGTGTCTTGGAATGCCTAGTCTAGGAAAGGGAAACTACCCTATTCCTGAGGTCTGAATTCCTTCAACTTGCAGAATTATTGACACTATGCCTGCTCTGAGGAGGCCTGCTTAGCCTAGGGAAGAATTGTCTCTAGAAACATCAACACCTCAAGATTTATCTCCACTTTGGAAATGCGTGATCCTAAAAATAGTGCTTGGGTTTCTCTGTCTTCTGTTCCCCACACACCCCTTTGTGTTTTGTATGTAGCTATATATTATTATGAATCACTTATTTTTCAGTTATATTAATCGTTTCTCTCCAATAGTTTCCTGAGAATCGACTTAAGAGTTTAATTCTAAAAAAGACTAAACTTGCCAAGTTAGGCCTATGGTTTTCTTTCTTTTTTTAAAAAATATTTAAAAATTGGTTTATCTGGACCAACTGTATGGCCTTAAACATCCAAAAGGAAAGTATAACCAAAGATTAAAGGGGCCAATATAATTTCTTAAGAGTCCATATGTATAGCTAAAGGCTACATTAACAAGCAACAATGCCAGACAGGCGATACCTTCTTTTGAGTTGTTGGCCAGGGTGGCCAAAGGGACTCCCAGA